CCTTGACTCATTTCACACCCTAAACACTTGCAAACGAGTAATAAGCTATTAATCGATTCCAAGAAATGCAATCAAAAGCAGAATAGCTTAAGCACATCAGTTCGATTGAATTTCGTACAACTTCAAATGCAGAACATTTAGCTCAATTGCAATATAGCTATTGCTTCTCAGTATAACGACTGCCTGGGTACACGCAGCAAAGCGTCTTGTTCATTTATATTTCGTTTTTTTTTTTCTCTCTCTCTTTTTTACAGCTGCTTCCTAACTTACAATAGCTCATATTCATAAAACATTCATTTGTTTGAAAAGTAAAAGGGTTCGTGATTGCTAAATACGTTTTTGGCAACTTGTCTGTTTTGCAATGGATTATACACCAAAAAAAGAGGGGAGACATTAGTGATACTTTGAAAATTGCTGACTGATTCTTTGAAAAAAAACTACATTTTTCTACAGCAAACTTCTATTGTTGTAAACTATCTAGAACACTTGCCCGTGGTCCTTCGTCTTGTTTGTTGTTGCTGGGGATATTCTTGTAGAAGCGGCCCATCCTAAAGGCTAGCTCACGATAATCTGTTATACTCTAAAGCAAGGCAAAGACCATATAACACCGTGTCAGCTAGAAAGCTATAGAACAGAAGAAAGCTGAAAGAAAGAAATCCTTACCGATAATGTCCAGGATAGTCTGAGCTAAGATTGCAAGCCTTTCTTCTCTAAACTAGGCAATTTCTCGCCCTCCATGTACTGACGAGATTACGCATACATTAGCAAACTGCAAAAATCATTTCACGATCAGTTCCCCAGATTTATTGTTTCTAAATCAAAGTGAATGGTTAAGCATGGTCACACTCAGTCTAATCATGCAAAGCGCAACATTTTGCCATTTTACCTCAAACTTTCCATTGCTGGTGCGAGCCATTTCCTGCAGTCTATTAACAGAGCGTGTCTTCAGCTCTGAGGAATTGTTTGATTCTCCTAACAAGCTGTACGTGTAGACGCTGACTGTAGTGTTGCTTTGGGACAAAAGATCACTGATGTCTTCTGTGGAAACGTCCGTACTTCCAGCCAGGAAGATCAGCTGTGTTAACATACCAGAATCAAAATCAGATTGGCGAGAACAACACAATTCCAGTGAACAATTCAATTTGGGTTTATCGTCACCAACCTTCCGTGCGTCAGTGTCTACAAATTTCTCTTATATATCTTGTGATTTAAACCCCTTATGGAAAAGAAGGTACTAATGCTTTCAAAATAACTTGATTTTCGCTGTGTTGATAAACTAATAGGATGACGATGAATACATGTAACATAGTTACGTATTCCTGTGCAAGTCTTTTTCATTGCACCACGACAAATGTTTCTATAACGTAGAAATCGTATATAAGTTTTTTTCTTAGCAAAGTACCTGTTAATATCCATTCTGAATTTTCATATTTTATGAATATATTGCTTCTTTGCACGACTTGAAAGTCATTCTTCACTAAATTATGTCATATGGTGTCGTGGTTACTACTTACGTGAGTGTCGCGGTTGTTCTGCATATCAGTGAGTAGTTTCAAAGCCATTGAGATCGCATTGTAATAGTTAGATGTTTTCGTGGAAGCAAGAGGCACATCCTGAACAAATCTAGACCAAGGATATAGAATAACGGTGGGTGAAATAATATTGTGGGGATTCCAATGATACTTAAAAATTGCAACCGTACCAGGTGTGTATACAAAAAAGAAACATCACCTTTTCAAGTCGAGTAGATTCTGGCCATTGGCCTGTACAAGCTGCGTATTAAAACAGCTATTGTAAGTGTGATCTGACTCCCCACTGTGTGACATGCCCGGCAGAAGTGCTGATTCAGCAAAGGCGATCACCTGTTGAAACAGTCAATCAGTTTGCGATCAAGAGAAAACTTTGCCTGCCGCGGGAATTACTGTTGGTTTGAACAAGTTCTTAACGCGACGCAGTCATATACCATAAGCTCTTTTCTCGGACTCTACGAAGTAAATAAGGCCAGGGCACCACGTCGGAGAAATTTGAAAACGCAGCTTTATTTCTACAGTTAGGTCCACTGTCCACACTAATCCGTCACGAAAACGGAGCTTTTCGAAAACGCTCTTCAAACCGGTGAAATTTGAAAACGCAGCTTTATTTCTACAGTTAGGCCTACCGTCCACACTAATCCGCAACGAAACCGGAGCTTTCCGAAAGGGCTCTTCAAACCGGAGGAATTTGAAAAAGCCAGCTTTTCGTTTTGAAGGAAAACATTTTGAAAACAGAGCTTTTCGAAAACGATGACGTCACGATAATCATGTGATTTCCCTGCCCAAGTTTTCCTCAAACACAAATCCAAAATGACCGGTGATTGTTGCGTTTTAAATTCCTCCAGCGTAGTGTGGACGGAAAACATTTGATGCGCTTTCAGTGTGAAACTTCCGTTTTTAAATTCCACTGGCGTAGTGTGGAAGGGGCCTGAATGGTAATGTTTAGGATCGCATGTAAATCAAACAATTAAACAAGTGGTTGACTTCCTTAATAATAAAATGGCGTAAACGCTTACATTAACAAAGTCTGTTGGCAGTAATCCCTTCAGGACGGGAGTGATGGCGGTTCTTGCAAATATAATTTTATTTTCTTCCTTCATGGAGTAGCTGATGTCAAATAATATGACTACATTCTTTGGACGCAGAATGGCTGCTATGTACCATGGCTGAAGTCGTTCATCTTTTGTTCCTGTTTTGACAAAGAGAAAGGAGAAGATTTTTATCCCGAGTAGAATGGCTTTGCCCGTGCATTATAAATCTTTGTGCATTTCTTAGGAATTATCCCCTAAAACGCGCCGACGTGAAGTCGCAGAATTGCGTCATGAAGGAGATAAACTAAACTACAGGGAAAATTTTCCAAGTTAATCCAAAGGACTTAAACACCTTCTTTGCATTTCTACTCGGAAGTAGGAATAATCCTGACACAAATAACATCTATTGACCACTGAGCCATCGTACTAAAGGTCCCAGAATGACCAAAGAAAACCAGTATATGCGGTCAGGAGGCTAAAAAGATCATATCAATATTTCAACAAATAAATTTTTCGCGGATAGGCGAGAATTACACACAACACTTACAGAGCACTCGGAAATTTTTTTTAAAAATCATTTAATTAGGCTTTTGCAATTTTATGGCAGAAATAGAAAGGAGTTACGTACCACACTTGGATGAACTGACTAAAGCAGCAGGAAACTTTCGAAAGAATCCTGTTGCATCATCAGCAAAATATTGCCATTTGAGTTGACCCTGGAAGAAGAGATCAAAGTACGCTGAAACATTATTGATATATGGCAAATATATTACTCTATTTATCTGACATAATACTGTCAATTCTTACGACGGTCTGACATCCGATCGGTACAAACGTAAGAAGACTTCGCGCCAGTTTGTACAGCTCAGTCCTTCAATTTGACTATCCAAATATTTTATAAGATGAAAATCTTATAGAAATGATTTTACATACAATTGCAAGAGAAGGATCTATTCCGACAACAATCGGCTGCGATTGCATGACTAGATCAAAGTTTGCAATATAGAACGCCGACCATTTTACATCAGACGCTGGTCTGTTCTAGTATGATCAGGTTAACCTTTCTGGCTGATTTTGATGTTTCAGCAAGCCTAAAAGCCCGCAAAACAATCACGATTAACTCCTTTCATCGTAACTATCCTAGATGTAATACATCAAACACGAAAGACCGTGCTTGACCACATTTCACCGAGAACACCGAGAAGAGACTTGCAAACACGACTCACAGCGGAGTATTTTTGACGAACGTCGAGATGTTTGAAAATGTGGTCAAACACTGTCTTGAGTGTTTGATATATCTTCTCAATCAAAACTAAAACTAAGGAGAAAACGGAGAAGTAAAATCGTAAAAATCTATGCTCATTCATATCAGATATCCAAACACCGTCACAATCATGATTTCCTTTGTTTAAACTTGATGAATTATTAATGAGTTTGAGAAGTGGGATTCTTGTACTAACTTGCTCCCCAAACATACTTCGGGCCACAGCAGTTTGCAGCGGGAAATGCACGATGGGATAACTGATTGATTTGTTAAAACAGAGCGCGCGGTCAAGAATTCTGATCACAAAGTTTTCTTTATGACATCATTTTTTTTCTTAGTATTCGTACTGCGTCGCGAAACAAGTTCACAGGTGGCACATAAACACAAGGGTTAAAGTGGCCTCAAAAGCATGAAACCGTCTTGGATTATGAGTGTTTTTAAAACTAACTTTTTTAGTAACATCGTCTGCTCCAGGTAATACAAGCGAGGCAGGTAGGTTTCGACAGTTCCTTGCGCCATTTCCGTTTATACGTAATGCATGTGATTTTAGGAAAGTTCAAAGCGTGCACTAATTTGCCGTTATTGAAGTAGTTTGTATATTATTCTCCATGTTGTACATGATTTTTAACAAATAAGTCGAAGAAACTAAAATAAGGTGCAAATCTTGATTCGCAAATACCAGGGTGAAATAAAAAGCATACCAAAGGCATTAATTCTTTCAAAAGTCACAGGAAACTTACGTCGTTCGTGTGTTCAAATGAAACGAATTAATTAAAACATAAACAGTGCTTTAGGAATGCGGGGGCGCGGTGGCCTCATGGTTAGTGCGCTCGTCTCCGGATCGAGCAGTCCCGGTTCTAGCCCTGGCCGGGGACATTGTGTTGTGTTCTTGGGCAAGACACTTAACTCTCGCAGTGCCTCTCTCCATCCAGGTGTATAAATAGGGTATATAATGCTGGGTGGAATACCTTTTGTGACCGGGAATCAACATTTTCCATCATCTGTTTCTCCAGAGACCTGGTCCAGTCGTAAGCTGACACAAGCGCATCAGGCATCTGAAACCGGATTAAACAGGTTTAATTACAACACAACACTGATAACAGAAAAATAGCGGCGGTATGAATTAGTGCTTGGTGCCGGGACAAAAATAAAAGGCTACCTCTTTTATCTCACTTGGCCAAGACCAGCAGCTCTGAAAAATGAAAAGGGAACAATATATTAAATAATAATTATCGCTTATCCAAATTGATTGAGAAAAATAATTATCGCTTTTCCAAAGAAAACAGGCAGAAAACGGGAACTAGTCTAGTAAGTGTTCACAACTTGAATGGCAAGCTCGAAAGGGAAGGGAAGGTAATAAATTATAAGAGCCCGGTTATTCTTGTCAGCATTGTTTACAAAGGCTTAAAATGATACTCTGCGAGTGCTATCTTACTGAAACAGATGATGGAATTGCGGACTGAACTGTGCTAGAAAGTGAAAAATGCCTATCTTAAGTTTTCCTGACCGTTCATATTTTTTTCCTGTGGAGTTGACAGGGTTTTACAAACACATGTATAGAAAACTTTAAAGTTCTTGAAAAAGGCGACTACTGCGTCCTTGGGTAAAAGAAGCAGAACTTACAACGACCATATCTCTACGATTTTTGTATTTTTGACGTTCTCCTTCAAGGCCTTAGTTTTAGGTTCGATTAAGAAGATATGTCAAACACTCAAGACCGTGTTTGACCATATTTCCAAACACCGAGAACAGAGTTGAAAATACGATGCGCAGCGGAGTATTTTTGACGAACTTCAAGGTGTTTGGAAAAGTGGTCAAACACGGTCTTTCGTGCTTGATATAATTCTTTAAAAATTGCAGGAACTAGTGCATTAGTAATAGTAATTGGATCGAGTGGAGTACAATTCAGGGAGTAATCGCGCGAGTTATTTCAAAATCGGACGAGCGCGAAGCTCGAGGCCGATTTGAAATTACGAGCACGATTTCCTCCTGAATTGTACGACACGAGCTCCAATTACTAATTAATCGTATCATTAACAAATTTCGGAATTAAAAATGTCTTTTGAGAACTTCTTTTGAGCGAAAACGTCTGTGACGCTTTTCATAAGTTTTGAAAACTGCAGGAAGCAGTGCGAAAGAAGCCAGTAAAGCGTGCGTAATCGACGTGCGAATCACGTGGGTATCCAATTACAGGTATCCAATTACGAAAAGTTCAAACTGGATACCTGTAATGGGACACCCACGTGATCGCGCGCTGATTACGTGACAAATAGGCGCGCGGAGAACCAATCATGATCGAGAATTTTGTTATAGATAGATTAACTATAAAACGGCAGATAACAATTACCGATTTTGTGTTCACCCATCGTTGAAACTTGGTGGAGTACTTAGTTTCGCCATCGTAATGGCAGCACTGTTTTGGAGCAATCTCTTTCAGATTTGTTATCCTGGGTCGATTGGCAGTCTTGTATTCGTCATATCCTTTTTCAATCACATCCTTGAGTTTCATTCCAAGGCGTCTTTTCTCTTCAATCTGGCCGCTAATAAACATGGCTAACTTGTCCACCAAATCCGAAGGGTTAAGCCTGATGTTCTTTTTCACTGAAGTAGAAAGTATTAAACACATGCATGCAGTCTCGTTTACACTAGCGACAAAACGAGGTAACGGCGTAAATGACATAACGACATAATCGGTAATGTGAACATTGACATAAAGACATAAGGCAAAGGTCAGTTTTTTTCAGTATGTCGTTATGTTCATGCTGTTATGTTGCTTTTATGTCATTATCTCAGGATGGCGGCACTGTGAACATAACGTTCTTCATATGTTGTTATGCCGCTACTGTCAACCAGGCCTAACCTGGCAATGTTGTTGGGTTAAAAAACTGTTGGCTTTCCAAGCTCTTCAGCCAATCTAAGAGTCCAGGTAAAGGTTTTTCATCGACCAAGCGTCAGGAAGACCAACATAAATATGTTAACAGGTACAAAGTAACATCAAGAATCGTTCTGAAAAACTAATTGATGTGTTCGTTGAAACCGGGAAGTTCTTTCGGGATTTTCCCGGCCGGGAGTTCCCTGCCTAAGGTGTCTCAGACAGTTTTACCTAGACCATCCCTTAATCGAATCGATATGAAAGTTACACCAGTCGTTGGAAATGGATCGAAGATTGCTATTATGTATTTTTCAAGGCAATCGATATTTTCATGGAAACGATAAAGAAAAAAAAAATGAAAATCGGTAAAACATGATAGTACATAGTGTAAAGTGCTCATGGTATTCTCAATATAAGCACAACCTTTTCCATTTCCCCAATAAAAATGAACGCTTACTTGAGTTATCGTAAATATTCTTCATCTCATTGACGCAAAGCTTGTCCACCATAAGATTATCGGCTGTGGCAGAAATCTTCTCCGCAGAATTGATGACGTCATCGCTGGAAATGTCATTCTTGACCAGGCAACTGCAGTTAGGGTTGACAATACTTTTCTTTGGGAGGCTGGGTGCGGTGTGCATGAGCTTGTTCTGGTAGATTTTGAATTTAGCTGTAGACGCGTCGAAGTCGAACACGTGCCAGTAACGTGAACAGTTCTTGATGTCATATCCAAATCTGTCTGAAAAGGAAACAAACAAACAAAAAAATAAATTGATGGCTTAGGATTGAGGGTCATATTTGATGGGCTTAAAAAGATGCTTTTAGGGTCACAGTCGATTCTCTTGCTCGTGCACCATTCAGACTCCGTACACACTACGCCGAAGGAATTTAAAAACGCAACAATCACATGTCATTTTGGATTTGTGTTTGAGGCAAACTCGATCAGGGATATCACGTGATTATCGTGACGTCATCGTTTTCGAAAAGTTCCGTTTTCAAAACGTTTTCGTCCACACGAAAACGAAAACCCGGCGTTTTCAAATTCCTCCGGTTTGAATAACGTTTTCGAAAAGCTCAATTTTCGTGACAGATTAGTGTGGACGGTAGGCCTGATCGTAGAAGTAAAGCTGCGTTTTCAAATTTCTTCGGCGTAATGTGGACGATGCCTCAGAAAACGCTTCCCCTGTCATCTTGAAGTGACGAGAGCAATATTTTTAAATTAATTCTACAATTCTTACTCTCACTGCATCCTGGTTGTTTGATATTGTATAACAGCCCGCCAGTGGAGGCTTGATATATCCTGACATTGGCCGATATCTTATCCCAGCAGACACCATTGGTATAGATATGCACGTAATAACCAAATGTTTCTGATTGCAGTCCTCTCATGGTGATTGTCTCTGGTCCGTACATGTCGGTGGCATCCACATCAAGATCAATTGTCTGCGATCCCTGCTGACACCTCTTGCCATCAAAGAACACCTGTACATATTCAAAGATTGATGTACTATATCAAACACGAAAGCCCGTGTTTAACCACATTTCCAAACCTCGAGAAGAGAGTTGAAAATACGACGCGCAGCGGAGTATTTTTGACGATCTTCGAGGTGTTGGGAAATGTGATGAAACATCGCCTTGAGTGTCTGCTATATCTTCTCAATCAAAACTAAAGCTAAGGAGAAAATGGAGAATTAAAATCGTAAAAATCTATGCTACAATTAAGGTCAGATATCCAAGCACCATGACTTGATTTCCTTTGTTAAAACTTGATGAATGAGTTTGAGAAATTCTCTGCAATTGCAGCCTTTACTCTACTTTATCGATTAAATTTGGTCTTCAGAATTATAATAAAACTTATCTCCACAAATTAAACAAGTTCTCACAAATTTTATGTGCTATTGGAAATGTCCATATTCGGTTCAACTCTGATCGCAAAATCTCTTTTGAGTGAGTTGCTGCACACAAGCTCACCTAGAAAGAAAATAACGCACAGACCAAGCCCCTGAAAATTGGGTTAAGTACACAAGCCACTACACAAGTTATGACCAACCATTTTCTCGCGTTCGATTTAGAGCAACTTCTCAACAGCAATAGTTGGAAAAACGTTTCATTATGAGCTACCAGGCAACTTCAACCGTTTCAACTGCCTTGGAGGCCAGTTGTAATATTTGTCAATGATTAACTGAACCAACAATAAAGCGGTTCTTATCCAAATAGAACGCAAAAAAACCCAACTTATCCACGGTCGACTCCAGAAGTACAGGGCATAAAACTGTTCAACTTACCATCCCAGACTGGCAGTCTGGTTCATGAGGCCACGGGGTGATGAGATAAGAATCTAAATCCTTGGGGGACCTTCCCCACGTGAGGACGATCCGGTACATATCATCCGATCCCCGGAGGTAGAGCCGGGGGGAAATCACCATATCTTGTTGAATCATGGCGTGTCTGTTAGTGTTGGAAGCGATTGTCAGATCCTCGTTTAGCGTGTAATACCCGATCCGAGACGTTCGAACCTGGAAGATGGTGTTATCAGACAAGTAAAAGTCAACAAAAGAACATAAACTTTAAAAAAAGACATATTGGTGTGTGCCAATTTGCACGACCCACGGGCATTTTTGCTTCTTCGGTGAAAATGGTGAGAAAACGTAGTTTTCCCGTCCGTTTTGTGGTGTGCGTTAGAGCTAGGTACGTGCCTTACAGACTTGGGGGACTATCCTGTCGCATTAGCCTACTCAAGATGTTTTTTTTTTTCGGAAAATAGGTCGTAAATTTTGCCATCAAGTTCGGATTAAACCTGGGTATAGTTTAAAGGGAAACCGAAGGAGCATATTTACGTCCATGCAGCCGTTTCCCCCCTTTTTTATCGGGCGGTATTAAAATAAAAGCAGATTTGGCGCGATTCACTTCTGTAGATATGGGAACCACCAGCTCTGAAAATGCGGCGAAGGTTTTTTAATTCGGGGATGAAAAATGAAGTACATTGATCAGAAATGGGTCAGGATTTGGAAAACTGGTATGGGTGACAGATCCCCACCAAAACGTCTATGGAGCCTGGCACATCTCGAGAGACAACGCGGTCTGGCTTAAGTCTTTTGCGCTCTCAACATCGCCAGAAATAAATAAAAGCAAGAATAAATAAATAAAATATGACCGTGAGCTTGTCATTTACCTGATAGTATCCTGGATGAACGTCTTCTATTATAGCAACGCCATACGAGTTGGTGAGACTTTTGGCTGTTCGTAGAAAGATACCAGCATTGGATAATAACAAGCACTCAGCACCGGGCACTGCAGCCCACTGAACTCCTTGAGTTGCGTCTTTAACCTTTTGGGGAAAAAATGATATTGAAACTTGACAACATGAGACAAACATATTATTCCTATCATTACAATATAACTTTAAATGTCAGTGTGTATGTAGTATCGTTTCCTGGCTATTCTGTACTACACAGTACTGCACTGCAATGCTCAGCACCGCAATTGGGCATTTTAGTTTTTAGTACACTGCACTGCACTGTACTTTATCCCTTGCTTTTTAAACTACAGCCAATCGGGAAGCTAGAAAGCCGTTGTAAATACTGCAGTATCCCACGGGTTGTATTCTACGAGAGTTTTCCGGCGTTCATCCCGGTATCTACGTTTTTTGCACGCCTAGTCGGTAGCGGGCGCCAGGTATTTTTCATGCAGCTCAGTTCAGATTTGGCGAGACAACATTCAAACATGAATGACAGGCAAAATCATTTTCTCGAATTCCACTGTCAGTCTAGGATAAAGGTTCTGAAAAACCTTACACTAGTGAGGAACAAGTTAACGCAGAGTAGCCAAATTCAGTCGGAGTTATTGTACTATTCATGCTCATGGGAGAGAAATAAAACAGTTATGCGATGTTCTCTCGTGGCATATCGAGTAATATCCCACGCTCGACTGGATCTGTTTTCTTTTTATACAGACTCGTTAAAGGTCCATATGTATACTAAAAGTTAAGTTACTTGGGGGATATTGCACGATAAGCCCGGCCTCTATAAACCATTGGATAACTAGAGTACACTTGTGTTGCGATACCATGCGCGGGAAGCGATGTGATAGGATGTAAATTCCTTGTGTCACTCTTTATTTGTACCGTTAGAACTCCTGCTGCATAATAAACTAAAATTACATAATGAACCGATTACTGTACAACAGTTTGCTGCGGTTGGTTAAAAGGATGGTAGAGAAAGACGGTGGATAAAAAAAGAACTTACGAATCAAAATGCTATTTACTCTGACGATCTCTCCAATTGCACTGAAACGCTGCGCGGCAAAGTTGTCAGTTTTATTTCGAAGTTTCTTTTACAACGAGTTCTTCTAAGCTAAATGTCGACTCCTTAACTGCTTGTTTTTGAAGTATAACGGGCTTGGTGCCCGTCGTTTGCCTAATGGTAGCTTTGACTGATAATGTAACTTTTTTCGCCTTCAATGTTCACTGATTCACTCAACAGGAAAACGACAATCCTGGACAAGGACAAGGACACAAAAAAGACTAAAAAAAGTCCGTACAAAAAGAGTATGTAAATATTGAACCATAAGCGTTTGTAACGTTCAAGTTATTTTCAAAGGCCCCGTTTAAGCGATGTAAACTTCCTATGCTCGAGTTTTTCAAACTGCTTTTAAACCTCGAAATATTCTCATGGAATGAAGAAAAGTGGCTGTTCCTGCGAATTCCATCAATCAAAAAATGATCAACATCCCAACACAGTGAATTCGAAAAAAACAAACGTGATGAATGATTGTTTCTGTCCAACAAGATATTACCCTCGCTATTTTGATAGTTTGATTTATGAGCTCGATAGAACGCATCGTACGCGTTTAGAAGTTCGACAGTAACCTGAGTAACTTCAGTCTGTCGAGTGGAGTATAAAACAGAGTTGTTTTTCGTCAACAGATCAAGTTAAAAAAAAAAATCGATCGATAACAGGACTATTTCATGTATCGCGTGTCGTGTCGAGCAATGTAAACAACGCTATACGGCAACAAGAAAAGAGATCTAGCAGCGAAAAGAAAAGGAAAGTGCGAATAACCGAGCCTGATGTAGTGGTTAAAAACGATTGAAAATGTCTGCGAATTGGCGCGCTATTATTGTACATTCGAAAACCACGCAGAATGGAAAAAAACTTAACTACCTGGTCAACATGGTAGAGAAAGAACTTACCTGGCATTTGATAGAGATACTGAACACTTCGCAGACATACATGACGAAGATCAGAATGAACCAAATCTCGTATTTAAACATCACTCTTCGCATCTTCAAATAACTCGACAGAATCTAGTCACTATGGCGTCGAAGGTAAATTTGGTACGGCATTTTTCGTCACAATCTTGATTAGCACACGTACTTAAGCTGTTTTGCATTTTCATAACTCTAGAAACAATGGATACCGTCTTTCGATGATGGAGGCGTGAAAATTATGTTATCATGAACAATAACGATTATAATTTGCATAACGCTAGCCGACTCTCATTTATACAAACTATTCATTTATAGCCGGTTGAAAACACAAAAGGCGCTGACTCTGAAAAAAGGAAATGCCAAATCCTCATGCACAATTGGAATTCTGAAAATGGTGAACTTTTTTCAAGCCACATTTTGCTGCTCTTTCCTGTTAAGCCCTACTAAACGAAAAGCAGCCATTTCTCAACCGAAACCGTAATAAACATTGAGATCGAAACAAAAACTCTCCTTACTTGTTCCTATTCTTTGAATGTCAGTAATAAGATTTTCGTGATTCATCAAAACAACACTACTCTCGTTGATGGTTTTCTTATATTCTCATCACTTAACTGCATGCCTTTGCAATCAGCACACTGTGAGAATTCAATTTTCAATAATTTTTTTGTAGCGCATTAGAGTACGTTTCCGCCCTAAAGAGGCAAGGAGAAAAGAGCTGTGCTTTAAAAATAAATGACGTGGTCGTGCTTTTTTTCCTTCATTTTTTGAGAACAAACAAAACAATGCCCTATCATAGATTAGATAAGACTAGACAACGGACTGCTTGATGAACCTTGTACCCTCATTACTGTCAGTCAGGACATTAAGATGATTTCAGACTGAAGATGATTTACTGAAAATTCTAGCTTCTCACCAAAAGCGCGACCTCTTAAATCAAATTTTAACTTCTGCACCATCTTCAGACTACAAACAAAGATATTGATTGTCTAATGCGGGTTAGATAAGTTGCCCAATTTTTAGATTACGAAATGTCTGATTTAAGCTCCCACACAAGAGACAGGAGACAAAATTAAAGGGAGTGTGAAATGACGCTTCATATTGTTTGAAAGAAATTGCTTGTCGCCTGACTGAATAAGATTTAATACTTAATGAAGAGAGTGTTGTGCAGGGTCGGCGGTAAACAAGGAGATTAAATTAACGACTGTTCGAGATTTGGACAGATTAGGATAGCTAATATTTCGACTGTAAAAAGAATCGTAAGATTGGAGACGAAATGATCACCGATTTCAAAAAAGGGGGCAAAAAACGCACTTGTGGGTTCAAATGTGCGAACATAGCGGCGAGAAATAGACTGATAGTCAAGAAGTCAGCTAAGAACTGTTGAACTGACTTAGACGTAGAATTCAATAGAATCATTTAAAATACTTCAGACAATCTTCAGACAATAAATATTGAACGTCAAACGGCTGCTGACGGTCGAGAGAAAAAAAAATAAAACCACGAAAACATGAAACAAACTAAGGAATTCAAAGCATTTAAGTTACTAATAAACGTAATTTTTTCGGAGATGCATAGTCAACTTTTCATTCTTCCAAGCTCTAACCTTCATGTAGACGTTTTTGAAACTATTTACTGTCCACACGAAATGAAATACTGGAGGTCTACATCACGCAGGCTACCAAACTCTTGTCGGTATATTTTACCACATCACACGGAGAAATTTGAAAACGCAGCTTTACTTCTTAAGTTAGGCCTACCGTACAGACTAATCCGTCACGAAAACAGATATTTTCGAAGGAAACGCTCTTCAAACCGGAGGAATTTCAAAACGTCGGCTTTTCGTTTTCGTGTGGACGGAAAACATTTGAAAAACAGAACTTTTCGAAAACGATGACGTCACGATAATCATTTGATTTCCCTGCCCGAGTTTTCCTCAAACACAAATCCAAAATGACCGGTGATTGGTGCGTTTTCAAATTTCTCCGGCGCAATGTGGACGGAATATCTTTAATGCGTTTTCACAGGGGGAACACTGTTTACAAATTTCTCCTGCGTAGTGAGGACGGGGCCTTATTAGTAAATCCATATCCGCAAAATTTGTTGAACAAATGAGACTTGAAAATCTGCACGTTAGTAGCCTACGTAGGAAGCGTTGCCGTTTGCATCAGAATTGTCCGCAGGCACACGAGGCGCTATTTTATACGGGTAGGCGGACAACGCACACCATTACCAGGTACCCTCCTATAACTGACTTCATTCGTTACACCGAAGTCTTTTGAAAACTTCTTTCCTTAGGAATGTATAACTTCACTGTTACCTGCCCATTAAACCATAGTTTAGAGGTATACTTAAGTGAAATTTCAAGTTTACATTTTAAACCCATTTCTGTCGAGGTTCTAACTTCCTTCGTATTTATTGACCGGCTTTATTGATGCAACACGTTTCAAAAGTATATCAGGCAGAGATAATATCTAGGTTTGTATTTATCGATAAGGAACAAAAACGATCTCTCCCAAAGTTTGGCGTGAAGCAATTTGAACTCAGCCTAACGGTAATTTCTTGCCTAAGGCGATTACATTCCCCCTCTTTGACATACATGTTGAGAAGTGATTTCATGTTATCACACAAAAGTGAAAACCAGAACTTGTCAAACGAGCTAATTTGAAATATTGAAGTTTGAAAGTCGAAAGCTGCCTAGAGCAAACTTTTAAAGAGCTGTGTTAGAGTATTAATAATTGCGCTGCAACATTGCAAAATTTCTCGCAAAAGAACACCTAGTTTGACTGTAATGGTTTATATGTTGTCTGTATGAGCAGGAGTTTTACAGTGGTTCCTCCTACAGCGTAGGAAAACCAACTGCTCACAGATGTATGCATAAAGAACAGCCTCCACTTGGTGCGAAAATATGCTCGGATATTTGTTCGCGGACATTATCTGTTTCGAGAAGCGAACAGTCTTCCGATAGCGAAGCTCAAGAACTAGTGAGACAATCTCAGATAGTGCAGAGCGCAATTGATAGCTCTGATACAGTAGTCCCATAAGTACTCACCCCTGCTCGGTTCACTTCCGGTTTGTGTCTACCTTGGTAGTCTGCTACGGCTTTTCCCCTTTGCAGTGTG